TGCTGGATCTGCTGGAGCTCCCAGCTGGGTCCCTGCTCAGGAACTCCACCCTGCCACCCGCCAGGCTCCGCTTCTGGAACGATCTCTGCAGTCTTTCCTTCCTCTGCACGGGCACGTCCCAGTCCAACCGCTTGTGAAACGAGGTCTTCACGTCACCTTCCATCCAGAGGTCTAACAAGTGCTCTGTGCTCTTTGCTTTCTTTAGAAACACCAAGGCAGAGTCCGACAGGCCGGTCCTGTCGGGCTGACACGTGCCAGGCACGGTGCAGTTCACCTGGATGCACATGTTCTCCAAGAACCAAAAGGCATCACAGGTGGGGCGCTGGCAGCAGGCGGCCTGGCAGGACTGCAGGGTGTGGAACCCTTCCAGGAGCTGCAAGTGGTGATCTGCCCACGATCTCAAACGGCCACCGAGCAGGATCTTCCCCGGCTCACACTTCGACCTGTTCCACTTTGCTTCTGGGAAATGGAGGGGAAGACAAACACACAATTCTCAGTCCTTTAAAGCAGTGACAATGGATTCTCATCACTCGTGTCAAGAGGGCACTGGAGGAACGTGGTAAACTCGGGAAGTTGCTACACCTTCTAGAACAGCCTCACCACCTGCTCCACCATAGCGCTTCTCATTACAAAACCCCAAACATTTGACATAATTTCTGTTAAGGGACAAGTTACTTCAGGCCTCAGCTCTGCAGTAAAGCAGCAACTGCTTTGCATGTGTTTTTTTTTCTTTCTTAGCATGAAAATTTAGAGTGCTTGCAAGGATCAGTGGATTAAAGGCTTCCAAAATTCAGAGCTCTGCAGATTAAGGACTCCCTAAAAATAGCCTAATGACCTATGGGACTGTTACACTTGTGCTGTGTTCAGCATCCAAGGGATAATAGGTCACTGGAAGATTACTTTACAAACCATGTTGCTGGACTGGGAGTAGTGCAGCTGGAGAACATGCTCCAGATCTGGCTCCCTGCCTGTCAGGAATGGAATCCTTGAACACAACACAAATGGGAAACTATTAAAGTCTGAATTTAAATCAAAATCTGGAATCAGGTCTGGAATTGGAAGGGAGTATGGAATGTGTGTACACACCAAACCCATGTGTATGTACACACACACACTCTCCACACTCAGAGAAACAACAACAAAAACAAGAATAACACCATTCCTCTTCGTTTCAAGAGGATCTTATCCACTCAAACTCAGTTTTGCCTAAAAACCTCACTTTCTGTTAAAGGTGAAGCACTCTTCCCTAATATATCCTGTGCACTCCCCACATAGGCTGCTCCCCACACCCCTAAAATCCCTCCTCCTCGACCACTGCTCATCCACCTCCCCTCAGATGTCAGCCCTGGCTCACACTCAAATTAAGGTTTGATACAGAGTCAGTGAAATTCAGCAGCAGTTTCTGGTACCAGGCTTAGAACTGGAGCACGCACAGAATGGGGCATATTTAGGAGAAAAATGTTCCCTGGGAAGATACCCCTTGTCACTACATAACACAAGTATTGTATTTATTCCCCTAAAATGTAAAGCCTGAATCCCCATAAGCATCTCCTCGACTTAGCCCAGATGACACAACACTACCACGCTGAGAGCATTCTGCTAAAACAAGATTTGAATAATATTTTCACCAGATTTCGTTTCCAGAACTCTGCTAACGCCCAGCTGGGGTGTGTTTATTTGAAATTAGCCAATATAGTTTCTGAATTGCTGTACACAGACAGCTTAAAATTCAAATAACTCTCAGGAACGACTGGAGTGAACAGACAACTCCCAACACGCCGGCCCAGCATTCCAGAAGTGCATTTTCCACAGAGCTACGCTGATTTTCACTTCTCATTTTCAAGTTTCACGGTCTTTGGTGGGCATCAAACATTCAGGCAGCTCTAAGTGCCACGGCGGAAGGCAGAGCTCCTGAGCCTACACTTGCGCTTCATCTCTGGAGAGCAGGAATTTCATTTAATCTCTGAAAAGCGGGAACGTCCCCCAAGTCCAGCACCACGCAAGTCACAAGACACACACACAGAGTGGGTGTGCTTAGTCACTCCTGCACAGTGTTTTTGTCCTATCAGTGCAGAAAACACTGCTCTTCCCAGGGCCTCAGGAGTTGCTGTCCCAGGCACGCAGCTCCCAGCTCAGCCGAACAGCAGGGGAACGGAACACACGGGAGCAGCTTCTATTAATAATCTCAGGTTCACAGACCTGCTCAGGCGGTTGATCCTGCCTGATATCAGATTAATGATTAAAGACTCGACTCGGTGGACTTTTTAAACCCGCCACACGTCAGCCAGTTATGTCAACACAGCTCCCCTTGCGTAACTGCACACGGCCACGCTCCTTTCTGGGCAGCCATAACTCCTCCTCACTTCCACACACTCCACTGCCTGAGCGACACAAACAAGCCCAAAATAACAAAAACTCTGCAATGGAAAAAGTGTCCCCATCAGGGGAACTGTGTCCATATCATTGTGTTTATTCCTGCACATGCAACGGCCTTAATTTAACGGAACTCCCCTTCATTTAATGGTTGGAATTGATGATCTCAGAGGTGTTTTCCAACCTTAACGACTCTACAATTCCCGGTTTTAACTCTCCCAAGCAGAACAGCTCTCAAACACACCAGCATGTTCCAGAACACCCTCTAAGAGTGACACAGGAGCTCCAACTCGGAACTTCCAAGAAATTACTAAGGACAGGAAATGCATACAGGACAAGGCAACATGCACCATCCAAGCACACAGTGCTCAGAACCCTTTGCTAAGATCAGGAACACAAATATGTCTTTCCAGGTACTGAATAAGCTTATTAAGGTCACACAGCTCTCTAGCTTAATTAAATCTGCCACTGGGAACTGTCCAGGAAGGTCCAGTGAGACAACAGGGATGCTGCAACAGCCTGGAGAACACATCCACATCACTGGGAAACAAAGCAAAACCCCCTTCCCAAACCAAACACCACACAATCCATTAGGAAAACCTCCATCCAAACCACTAACTTGGTTATTTACTTGAGCAGGGGGTTGCTCACTCAAGTTTGAGCAGGAAATAAAAGAAACAAACAGAACCGTTGCCTGTAGGCAAATAAAGATTATTGACACACTGTGCTTGGGGAGAGAGTTTAAACATCTGAGGGCCAGAAAACATTCCTGCGTTTCGAAATTGCTGTGAGTATTCCTTAGAATGTTTTCCAGATTATGCTTTGTTCCATTTGCAAAGAAAATAGGGTCAGGGAAAGCTCTCTCTGAGATACAGGTACACGTCACAGAAGTCATTTAGTAACTGGTAAGGGTGAGGTTTGGATTGGTTTTGGTTTAAAAAAACCCACAGTTTTGGTTTTTTTGTTTAAAAAATCAATTAATCAGAAAAACAAAGCTACAGTGTCTGTAACAAACCACTTCAGTTCCAGAATATTTTAAACGAGCGAGAGGGATAAATACCATAGAGAACCACACTCCCAGTCCCAGAGAGAACAGCAGACTCACCTGCTGAGGAGCACAAGGCACACAGGCAAGTGCACAGGCAGAACAGCTGCACAATTCCCAGCTCCCTCACAGCTTTTCCCAGGCAGTGTCGTGACAGGAATCGGGTGCTGGTGCTGGACTTGGCTTCCAAGCTCTTCTCCATGGCCTCTGCGGGCAGCAGCGGGGTTCTAGGAACATGGGGGGCATGAAACACAACCCAGCCCCGGCAGCTGAAACGCTCCTGCAGATCCAGCGGCAGCGAGAAGGGCACAGGGCGTCTGTGGTGGAAAAGGAACGTCTAATCTGCTGTGATTAGTCCAGCTGCTGCTGAGGAACTATCAGTGTCTGATACCAAAACGAAATCTGGGCTGGCACAGCTCCCAGGGCTGAGTGCAGAGGGCCTGTCCCTTGTGACTTCCTGCCCCAGACCCCACTTTTCCATCTAATACCACAGTGCCCTGGATTCCAGGCAGGTGTCGGGGCAGCTTTACTCTCAAACACGCCCCAGGAATGGCCAGAGCAGCAGGAGCAGCACGAGGGTAACACAGACAAACCCAGCACATCTGCCCAGCGATGCCACCGTGTGTGGTGCTGCCTGCAGGGATCACCAAACACCTCGGCCTTTCCCACGCCAAAGGCTCTTTTACAGCCTCGGATGCTAATTAAATGGATATCACCTCTCTGAGGCACGAAAACATTGATTATATCATTGGTATTAAATATCGCCTATTTTTAAAGGGTAACGGAGCCCCGTCAGGCACTAAGCGGGCATTAAACCTGCCAGCTCTGAAGAATCCAGAGGGAATGCTGTTACAGGGAATGCTCCAAGAGGGAACCAGACCCACCAGCACTGCTCAAACACTCAGCGCCTGCTACATGGAGAGGAATCTCACTCAAACCGTCCTCAGCAGGGCAGGGACGGGCACGGGAGGAAAACTCCACGGGGGCGGGGACGCGAACCCGCGGCCGCTCGGCCAACAGGTCCCTGAGGAAACTTCCCGCGCCCCCCTCAGCCCCCGGTCCGACACCCGCCCCGTAGCCCCCTTGGCCGGGCCCGGTCCGCGCGGGAGGCGGCAGCGGGAGGCTGGTACGTACCAGGGGCTCATGGCGAGGCTCGGCGGCTCCTCGGCGGCTCCTCAGGCGGGCGCCGGGCCCCGGGCGCGGCTCCAGCGCGGCGGGCCCGGGGGCAGCGCGGCCTCCCTCCCCGCGGCCATGGCAGCGCCAGCGCACCCTCACCCGGAAGCTGAACCGCCGCGGCAGCGCGGCCGGGCCTGGCCGTGCGGGAGCAGCGCGGGGGGCAGTGCCGGGGCCGGGCAGCCGCCGGGACCGCCGCTCGCTCCCCCGCCGCCCTCCCCGCCGGCCCCGGTGACACCGGGCGGGGCGGGCGCGGCGGCCGCGCAGCCACAGGTGATTTGCCCGCAGTTGGGCCGCGGAGGCGGCGGCTTCGGGCGCCGCCCAACAAGGCGGCCGGCGGTTGGCCCGCGGCGCGGGGGCGGCGCGCGGATTGGCTGGAGGGGCCGCGCGCGGCCGCGGGAGGGGCGCCGGGAGGGGAAGGGCTGAGGGGAAGGGCTGAGGGGAGGGGAAGGGCTGAGGGGAGGCTGCCGGGGTTTTTCCCCATTCCCGTCCTTCAGCCGCTGCTTCCCCGCCATGGCCTCGGACTCCGGGGACGGGCACGCCACGCTGAAGCGGTGCCTCGGTGTGCTCAGGGACGCGAGGAACGACAGCGAGCACTTCGCGGCGCTGCTCCTGGTGAGGGACCGCGGCGTCTCCTCGGGGGCGGGCAGAGGGGAGGCCGGATCCCCCGCTGGACACGGGAGTGCCCGGGAGACGCGGGCGGGTGGGGATCGGGAGATCTGAGCAAGCTGCATCAGTGCCTTGGGGTTCCCAGAGCAAGGCGAGGGAGCCTGGCCTTGACCTGAATGTGTGGAGGGTGGTCAGTGCTGTCACATTGGAACCCCCCGGCAAACCCCTGGATCAGCGCCTGGACCAAGTGTCCACTCAGTGGGTGCTTCCCTGTCCTAATTAAAGCTGTTCAGGCTTCTGATTTGCCCATCCAGTCCTGTAAAGGTAGCAAACCCTCCTGCTATTCTCGCTCTCACCTCTGTTTTGCCTCGCAGGTGACCAAAGCGGTCAGGGCCGGGGAGGTGGATGCCAAGACCCGCCGGCAGATCTTCGATGCCATCGGATTCACATTCCCAACCCGGCTGCTGATCTCGGGGCAGCCCCCACCCGGCTGCCCCCCGCACACCTTCCGCGCCCTCGGCCTCACGCTGCTCGCCTGCTTCTGCACCGACCCGGAGCTGGCCGGGCACTCCCAGGTCCTCAACAAAATCCCCACCTTCAACGAGGTCCTGCTTTCCCCCTGTCCCCCTGACTGCACATCCATGGTGGACGATGTGTACCAGTGCCTGAGCGCTGTCCTGGCCACGGCCAGGGGCCCCAGGGAGCTGGTTGCCAAAGGGACGGTGTCTGCCCTGTGCCAGGCCTACCTGAGCGGCGGCCACGGCTCTGACCGTGCCCTGACGCTGCTCCTGGGGCTGTTGGCCGTAGCAGAGGCCAGGTGCTGGCAGAGGGATGCTGCACAGCTCCTGGCCGTGCTCAGCAAGCTCTCCAGTGACTTCCTCAAGGCTGAGGACATGACCAAGTTTGAGCTGTGCGAGGTTCTGCCTCACTTCATCCCCCTGTCAGCTCCACTCACGCGGGACTCGCAGGGCTCCGAGTGCCTCCACAGGGTGTACAAAGGGCTGGCTGACATTTTGGGCAGCAAACTCAGCCAGTCGCAGCGGGACCCCGCGCTGAAGCTCGCAGCCGGCCTCGTTCAGGCCTGTGGGGCAGAGTGGATCCCAGCAGGGAGTGCTGGCAGCAAGTTCCTGGCCTTGCTGGTGAACCTGGCTTGTGTGGAGGTCCGCCTGACCCTGGAGGAGCCAGATCCCGTGGAGCTGGAGGGCAAGAAAGAAGTGGTGACAGCCTGCTATGTCCTTATGGAGATGGGGATCCAGGAGTGCCTGAGGGAAGAGAACCCGCTGCTGGACGAGGTGCAAAAAGTGCAGCTCATGAGGATTATGGAGGAGGCATTTGGAGCTGTAATATTCTACCTGAGACAGGTAATGCAGGACTTCGAATGAAAATCAGGTTTTGGGGTGTCTCTGCAGAGAGCCAAATGTGCCTCTTGGCCCACTGTGGCTTCCAGACCTGTGGTAGTTCGATGCACAGTGGCCCTCAAGTGTCACTTTGCTTTCTTCATGCAGGTTAAACAGGAGGATCTACAAGATCCTTTCATATTTGCTTCTGTCCGAGTCCTTGGAGCCTGGATGGCAGAAGAAACATCGTCCCTCAAGCAGGAAATCTGTGAGCTCTTGCCCTTCCTTGTTCATTATGCCAGGAAGCTTTTCAAGGAGGGCAGCCCAGCTGTGAGTCTTCCCCAGGCAGAGCTGGGCAGCACCGAGGGCCCTGCCTTACCCCAGGATGCTCTGAGGTGAGTATTTTAAGCACAGAGCTGCTGCATTTCAGCACAGCCCTGTCAAATATTTTGCTCTTTTCCATTCTCCCCTCAGTGCTGATTCCATGGGGATTTTTACCCCCGATGGATATAAATGCAGGGCTTAGACCCATTCTACCTCATGCTTCCAACTTCTTTCCCCTTCCAGGTTTCTGCTACCTGGTTTTTGCCATTTGACAGCAGAGGACAGGCCCCGGGCCATCCTGGTCTCCCAAGGGGCACCAGCACTGCTGTGTGAGTACTTCCTCCATCAGTGGGAGGTTCTGAGCTCCGAGCCCACGGCCCCAGCACCCCTGACGAGCACTGAGATGAGCCTGCAGACCCTGTGTGGCATTTTCCTCAACCTGGTGGTGACTGCTCCAGACCTGGTCAGGTAACAGAGCTGTGGGGAGGAACTGAGCTCTGAGGTTGGCAGTGGGAAGAAAAAGGAGGGTGCCTTGTGCAGTGTGCTCGAGGATCTGTTAACACACCACGCTGAAAAGGGATGTTCCTTTCTCAACCCCGGTTTCATTACGTTTTTGATGCTGCGTTTAACCTTGACATTTTCAGGTGCTTCTGGCTCTGCTCAGGAAATGTCTTGGGGTTTGTGTTCTCTCTAGGCAAGACAAAGCCTTTTCCTCCTTGCTGGATGTGTTGCTGAAGTCTCTCCCACTTCTGCTGCCCCAGGAACATCACCTGGTTCTGGCGGCGAACGTTGCCACTCTGGGGCTGATGCTGGCCAGGATCCTCTCAGACTCAGCAGGTAAGAGGAGCTCCCACTGGCAAAGCCCACGTTGCTCTGCACAGGTGGGTGGCCTGGAGAAAGAAAATAGAAGGGAAACTGGTCCAGTTTATCACTGGAAAAGTGAGAAACCAAAAATCTGGGGGAGCAAGGAACATGCAGAACATTCGGCAGGCTGATGTGCTGGGATTAAGAGATATCTAGGGCAGGAGGATGTTGTCCTGCTCTCCCTGGAAGCCCTGCTGCACACAGACCCACCACAGGGCCCCCCTTTGACTGAGCAAGTTCTGTGTTGAGTCACTAATTCCCTTTTTTCTCCCAGCCCTTCAGGGAACACAGTCTGCCAAGGAGTTTTTCGGAGCCACCCTTCGGTTCCTCTCGCAGGCCCACACGGCCCAGGCAGACCCTGGCAGTGACAGCCTGGCCCTGGCCGTGTCTCCTGCCTACAGGGGTGCCTGGGATGACATCCAGGAGCTGTGGTTCCTGGGAATGCAGGCCCTGGCCGGCTGCATCCCGCTGTTCCCCTGGCTGCCTCCGGCCGTGCTGCGGGCGCGCTGGCTGGAAGGGCTCTCGGAGCTGCTGTCCCGTGTCTCTCCAGCCTCCCTGGATTTTGAGCTCATCACTGCGTTCCAGGGAGTGCTGGTGGCGCTGGCCAGAGCCAGTGAGCCCTGCAGGGATGTGATCCTGGCCCACCATGGCACGGAGTGGGCCAACCTGTACGGAATGGCAGCTCTGGAACAGTGTCTGGTCAAGCAGTGAGGAGCCACCAGCACCCTGGGTGGGAAATGAAGTCAGACACCTGCACCACTTCTGTGCCAGGTGGGCACAAAGAGACCCATTTCACTGACCAAAAACTGGAGTCATGCAGCAGAGCCTGGCAGGATTGGCCCTGTCCACACTCCACACCCTGGTGTGCAGAACTGCTGCTGCCTCGGAACATTTCACCCCTGCTTGACCTGCTGTCAGGATTTCTCTGTAAAAACAACCTGTTTTGTTATTAAAGATATTTTCTGGTGCTTTGTTTTTCAAACTCCTCAGTGCTGGGATTTCTTTCTGCCCCAGGCCCTGACAGGTTGCTGCTCCCATTAACATTGTCACAGTTTTGTCACAGTAAGCCCTGCAGGTTGTCACCTTATTTTCTGTTGGTCCTGCACATGTTAGTAACTTGGAACTACACACAGAGCCCTACAAAATCCAGAAAAGGGAAAAGCTTCAATATTTAGTGATAGCAGTGAGAATAACTCCCTGTAACTTGAAGATGTCATGCTGCAGGATGACTCCCACCATTCATATCCACCACTGATACCATCATTCCAAATTCACACCTAGAAAACCTTCCCAGCACCACTTGCTTTGCCTCTTTTGCCCCGTAAAACACCTGCACAAAGCACATCCATGGGGATTTGTATTTGCTCACTCTCGCTACCAGGATGGGATGTACAGGGGGAATTTCCACTCTTGCAAGGTCAGGGGTTCAATCTGTAAAGGGGGTTCCACCCACCTTGGCTCTTTTTGGGGTGTGAAAGTAGAAATGAGTGAATTCCCCCTCACTCCCCTCAGACCAAGGAAGACATTGTATTACTGAAGAGAAAGGCCTCGTGTACCATGGAGTAAATCAATTTGCAGCCTGGGCTGCCAGCTCCCGGGTTCTCTGTAATCCCGAGGATAATCCCAGAAGGAGCAGCCAGGCCGGGTGGCTGGCACGGCTGGCTCCATCCAAGCAGAGCTCCCTGCTCCCACTTTTCCACCAGGTGTCAGCCGAGGAGTTCTCTGGGAGCTGCAGCCTCGCCGGGACCGGCTCTGCTGCCAGCCTAAGGCGTTGATCAGAACTCCTCCCGGGGAGCTGTGGAATTGTCTGATCAAGGGAAAATCAGGCGAGGAGCTGCCTCAAACTGAGGGCTGGCTCTGGCTCTGTTCCTGCTTTACTCCATGTTTTTGTGTCGTTGCTTTATGAGAGCAAGTGCCTCACACAACTAGAGAGGAGGCTGTTGCTCAAGGAAAGTATCTTCCTCACCTTCCCAGCTCAGCCCTGACCAGTCAGCACAAGCTGGGAC